GCAAGGAAACTAAACCTGACACTTGCAGAGTCAGGGACTACGTTTTCGAGCCTCGCGCCCGCCTTTGTAGTTTGCCGAACGTAAACAAGGACAGCGAATAAAAGATAAGGATGAAACGTGAGTTGAGGCAACCAAGCGATTTAAATATCAACTTTTTTAATTTTACGTTTTTTTATCCCGAAATTTTTCTTAACATATTGATGAGATTTTTCTATCATTAATGGTGGAAGTGACGTGATTCACGAATGTATGTGTATCTTCACCCTCGCGCTGTCCTTCACGATCTGCAAGCATACCCCGCCGCCCACCCTGGGAAGTTGATACAGTAGTGATATGGTGCATTAACGGGGAGTTAGACAGAAGGGTGGCTGATCCTGGTGTGTGCTAATTGTCTATAGCCTATACACTGACAATGTAGAAGCAAGACACTGGCAACCCATGTGGCCGAAAGAATTGCAGAGCTTCTGCCAGCTTAACCCTTTAACCTATGATTTTTTTCTGACTACGCATCTAAGCGTCAGCCATTTACTGTTTCAGTATTGTATCAGGTAACAAAAGCTAATCTGTTAGAAATTATTTGCATTTAGTAATCCTCAGTCTTATAAATTAAAACGAAAGTCCTTGACCAGAATCTCTGCCATGAGTCTGACACGTTGTTATAGGGTAAGAGGTTAAGGGGTTATTCCAGAACTAAATTAAGGCCTAAAAATTGATTTATAGACAAAGAACCTTTATTCTTCTACGGAACATATGAATTGCTGGTGTCTTGCTTCTACGCTCTTCATAGTGATAGATTTATCATCAACAAACCGTAACCGCAACAAAAGGTCCGTTCATCCCTAATTCATTCGCTGATCTTCAGTACCACCCTAAAGGTTCCGAGCTATTCTGGTAAGCAATATGCTTCCAAACCTAGAACAACCGTAAGGTATAATATACGCTGATCATATCCTCGCCTATCACGCCAAGTTTTGTATAAAAATCGACGACAGAATCGAAGAAGAGTAAAGATAGCTACGCTTATATGACTCGTCGTCCAAAGAATGAACAATCTGAGTTCCGATTTTTCGTCGCGAGTCTGGGACATGAAGTTACACATTGAAATTTCAACGTGTTGTTACCTATGCAGAAACACAGACAAATACATAGAGATCATGAAGATCTCTAGCAGCACTATGCTACTTCGATCGAAATATGCTACGTGTAATTACCTGCCAAAAATCTACGAACGCCTTGGACCCTGGACACAGTCTGCACTAATTCATTGTGCGTACATCGAATTATACAGGGTGACAAGGAAATAGATGAGCAAACTTTGGTACCGTATTCTACTGTCCCTAAGGATGCAAAAAGGTCGTATGAACATAGATCCGAAAGTTCTTCCTTTCCGAGATATAGACACTTTTCGATTATGATGGAGTACTGTAGGAATGTTTAAAACTTACTTAAAGAAATTGCTGAAAATGATTTTCTTCTGCTTCGCATCGACGTTTCAAAGACTCTCGAAGCGTTTAAAAATTTCGGGTGTATTCCGAATTTCTTCACATGCAGCAATAATCCGGTTTGTGAATACAGTAATGTCTCCACAAGTGTCAGTACGCAAGGAAACTAAACCTGACACTTGCAGAGTCAGGGACTACGTTTTCGAGCCTCGCGCCCGCCTTTGTAGTTTGCCGAACGTAAACAAGGACAGCGAATAAAAGATAAGGATGAAACGTGAGTTGAGGCAACCAAGCGATTTAAATATCAACTTTTTTAATTTTACGTTTTTTTATCCCGAAATTTTTCTTAACATATTGATGAGATTTTTCTCATGAAAATGACATCAAACACGACATAATTTGAACAACATTTACTTATTAACACGTTAACATAGGCGCAGCAATGACGCAGACCTAGGCGTAGGACCATCTACACTGACACTTGTAGAGACATTACTGTATTTCCAGGTTATCGACAGTGTTGCTGCATATGAAAAAATTCGGAATGCACCAGGAATTTTCGAACGTCTTCGACAGTCTTTGAAATCATTTTCAGCAATTTCTTTAAGTAAATTCCTTGTACAATACTGTATCATAATCGAAAAGTGTCTATATCTCGGAAAAGGACAGTTTTCGGACCTACGTCCACACGACCTTTTTTCATCCTTAGGAACAATAGAATACGACAGCAAAGTTTGACCGCCTACTTCCTTGTCACCCTGTATAGTATCATATTCAGAATTGTAAGAACTCAACGCTAGCGCAAGCATGTCGTAATGCGCATCTTTCACAAACATTCAACTCAAGTGCGATAAGTTCGCGATATTCGACTCTGTACACGGTTAGTTTTTCGAATAAATTAACTATCAAATCGACGCAAGTTAGCGTATATTCGTGCAATATTACAACGCCAACCCGACCTTCACACATCCGAAGAAGCGCGGGAAGTTGCGTTTATACTTTCCCTCCCGACATATACAGGGTGATTCACCTAACTTGACGACATAAAATTACTCGTAAATTATTCGTTGTAGGAAGAAACGTGTGAGACAGAATTACATGAATTCAAGGGGGATATACGCTGCAATGATTATTTATTTCCTATATTGTTTGCATAGTAAATTTGTAAGGTCATCTTAGGATTTCTTTTTAATGGAATACCAGATATTTTTGACGAAGAAAAGTTAGACTGTCGAGACATTTTTTTTTTTCTGCTAAAACTTGTAACTTTCCCGAGGCGTGGAATGTGTTAAACACGCTGTAACTAACAAACATAATTCAACTCGTCTTCACTGCTAAACAACGATAAAAGTATAGTATAATTAACGGTTATAAATAATATAAAATAATGTGGAATGAATAAACTTTACTTAAAAATGAAAAAAAGAAATCCATAATACTCGACACATCGATCTCAGTTAAATTTGATCGTTAAGATCATTAATGCACGATAATTAGAACGGTTATTTACTGTGTACAATAGCTTAAGCAAATGTTAAATAACTCACAAAACGTTTACATGAAAAAACTAAAATTCTATTTCCATTTGCAATCCCACGGTTTCTTAAAAGTGTAATTTACAAGTAAACAAAAATGAAATATTCTTAAAAAAGAACAGTGCTTTGAAATCCTTACGAACGCTGCGCAATCCAGGAAAAGAATTACAGATCATTTGTAGAATCGAAGAATGCGCGTAATTAATTGCAGATAATGACAACATTTCAATGGGACATTTAATTATTTAAATGCTGTATTGCATAAAATGTCTCTTAAGCGCGTACAAAGATTTGCAAATTACACGTTATATCACGCTAATATCAGTCTATTAAAAAAACAAACTTCATTAATCAAAGAATTGAAAAGGTTTAGTTCCTCGTTTTTCCCTAAACAAAATATCTCACAACACGCATTCGTTTAAACTGAAAGAAAAATGATTTTCGTAAATTCTGTATAAAAAATTTTCAAACGAGACTACAGTTTTTCAAACCAGGAACACGTTCAACTATAAACTTTTATGCAGCAAATTTGACTAACTTTCTTTTCCATCGGCAAATTGCACAAAACAAAGCAGGGTGGTTCGTAGTTAATTATAAAATTGACGGATAATTTCGTTTGTTCATTTTACACGGAACAGCCAGAGGATAGCTTTTTCCGTGACTTTGCCCCTTGATTGCACTACGCAAAAACGAAAACAACTGGTCGTTAAACAGTTCGCCTATCCTCGGACCCAAGCACGTTGCACGAAGGGGCCATAAGTGGCATACGATTGGTCGTCGTCAAGGTTGACAGATCACAGGAATCGACGTTCTTTTGTTTCGGTATATCATTCTACTGGTAACTAGTAACTAGAAATCGCGCTCGCCCCGGCATTCGTTCACGGGTGGCATATACGTACAATGAAACCACGTGTTCCTTTCGCTCTCTTTCGTCGCTCGTGTATCGTGGCGAAGAACAGTGAACGCGTCGCTACGTCGCCAACCGTTGACTCTGGTTCACAAACAATCGGTAACAACACGACGACACTTCCTCCGATCCCGGCAACCCTACAAAGCAAGGGCAAGTTCTTGGGAAAACAAGACGAAAAAGAAGAAACTCGTTTTCTTCGATCAAGGAAAATTTGTATTTCCTTCGTTTGTTAATATACATTCGTTTCTTCAAGACCTTCGCTACCGGCACATTGCTGGCCACTACCATTTAATTGTTATAAAGGAGGACTTGATTGTTAATTAAACACTCGTTTCCATGCCACGAAAATGTTAACAAATCAACCATCTAACAAAATTGGTACACAGAGGAATCTGATTAACCAATTAAATAAACGTTCGTTTGAAATATAACTGACATTACGTTGTTACATTTCTAACAGATATGCAGAAAGATAGTTAATCTGAAAAGAACACTTACTTGTTTTTAATTCGTGCTTTTACCAGTAACTTGTCAAATTTTTCCTAACGAATGAAGAATGAAACTCCTGATATACACATCTGCATACAGAAACGCGCCTACAAAATTGGCGTATAATCGCAAAAAGCAAAAACATACAAAGATAGCAGACACGGTAATAATTTACGCATAAAACGTGTCATCTTGTATAAATTGCAAGAGATTTCCGCATATGATAGCCGGTAGTAAAAAATGTGATTCTAAGTGAATTAGATAAATAAGTGACAATTAACCGCGAACTCGTGCAGTGTTATGTTGTAGTCTCCGATCACGGGAGGGAAACATCAAAGCAAGTCTTTGTTTACCGTGATCATGGTTTTTCCACGACCATAAGCTTTCTTTGCTCACTGTCACCACGTACACGGAATAGAGAACTTTGAATTTTCACAATTCCCTTTCTCGATTGATTGTCAATACGCCAAATAAGAGAAAACTATTCAAATAATGCCAAACGACTCGTAATACGTTCTGGCTATGTTGTTTCATATAATGGCGATAGCAAATTTCAAAACAACGTGTTCCTAGGAAAACTTTACAGTAGTTATCGACAAAGACGCACAAAGCAAGAAAACTCACCGAACTCTGCGGGGAATTGGATACACTTGGAGACCGTTGCACGGTGACCAACGCCATGATAAACACCTCCCACGTTGTTGAACTGTTGGAGATAATACTCACTGTCACTAAGCACACACGTAAAAACGATTGGATCGTTTGAACCAGTGAAAAACGATCATTTTTCACGCACTTGTAGTAGCATCACGCTCGCGGCGGCCATATTCGATACAGTCTACCGTCAAGAGTAATCTGCGCATGCGTGCGATTTCGGCGTGCGCATCCCGCGATTTCACTTATCGTACGCTGACGTCATTACTATAATTTTTTTTTTAAAAAAAGAAAAATGTAAATAACGAACTGCAAAGTTATAATAAATCACAAATAAAAATTAATAAATTTGTCGAAATAATTAACAAAATCATATTTTCACAGAAAACTAATTGTGTCCTTTATATAGTTTTCTATGTTTGTATCAAAATATGAAATGTCTTCGAATTTTTTTGAAACATCTAACATATAATTCATTTTATACATACTTTTGATACATACAAACATATAACTGAATGAATTTAACATTTCTCATTTTTATTATTGCTCACTTACAGACTGTAAAATAGTGTACAATTATAGAATATTAAATCTTCAATATTTCTCGCAAGATTTTGCATAAAAATATATATTTACATTTATATTGA